GCAAAAAAAAACACTAACAAAAGTAAAAAGAAAACCCGCGGAAAGCGCGGAAAATAATCTCCGTGAGAAATCGCAAATCCACACTCCGTGTCTCAGAAGACTGCCACAACTCCACACAGTCCCAAAAGCAGAAGCAGCAGTGGTTTTTCCACACACAAGATGATAATTTCGCTGCTGTCCACCGTCGGCAAGGACATGTCACCTTCGAACAAGATTCCTCTGCTCGCTTAGATCTTCTTTTTTAAAGCAGATGTGCTCTGTGTGGCGCTGCTGCACGCACTGCTGTTTGTCGGCTCCTTGGCGGCGGGGCGGGTGCCCGAAGACCACGGATACTGTCCCATCGCTGCACACATCGGTGGTATTGGGCGTCGTGAGGTCAGGAGTCAAATATTCCTCCGTTCCTACGGAATTATTCGTGCCATCGCAATCCGAGAAGCTCTTCGCCGCAAAATCGCAGAATATCGCATTGAAAGCCTCCTCTTCCGTTAGATCTCGACTGTCTTGTTTCTTATCAGTACGACACGCAGTCCAGCTGCTCTCGCCGACTGGGCGCCAGTGCACACTGGGATCTTTGCTTCCACACAACAACTCCGTCTCCACACACGCCACACAATCATCATCATTTTCCGCGTACACGAGGAGCAGCAGCAGCAGTAGTAGCAGCAGCAGCAGTAGTAGTAGAGTTGCTGAAATCGGTGAGCAGATCTGCGCACAGAGCGGAGAATAGAAAGGCAAAAAGAAAATAGAAAGATGTGCAGCCAAAAGACACACACACATCGTCGCAGCGTCGCCGTTGCGTGCGCGGTAATGATGCGACCTCCCGTGGCAGGCGCAACTCGCACACTGCACGCATTGCAAAACGGGATCCACACACGAAACACACACACATAACGACATAACAGCCACCAAAAACTAGAAGGAGGAGAGAACCACAACCATCTCCCCCTACTTGCACAACAAACGGCCCTCCACTTTTTAAGCAAGATAGTTTCTGCAAGCTCTCCATCGTTCCGCTGCACGCTCTCAGCGCCCACAGTGGGACTCAGTAAATCGTACAGGTGAAAAACGAAACCCGTCTCACTCCCGTCGGGAAAAAAACAAAATTACCGTGACGACAACAACAACGGTGCAAGGGTGTCGCATCGGATGATACGATGGCGTTGTTGGCGTCCAGATAAATGACGCGTACCCTCGAAAATACGCGTGGAAGATATGGCACGTAAGACTGCTGAGTTGCGTCCGCAGATAAACGGTATTCGGAGCCAGCCCTCTCTTTCTCGGTGGCAAAGATGGGTCAAGAATGTCGTCAGAGAGGCAACAGTGCAGACGGCAGGGTAGAGCAACGTACCGCACACGGGACCCAAATATTCGACTGCCTTGTCCCTGGAAAAGTACAACCAACTTGGCCAGGGTTGTCTCGCTCTCTGGCGATGGCACATCCAAAAAAAAAAGGACTCACAGTATTGAAGGGACTCGAAAAAGCCCCAACGTGCGTGCTGCGGCTCCACGAGGATGTGAACGGTCTGCATGTGTCCATGCAATTCACAGTCGATAGGCGCATTATAGGGGATACTGCTTGAGTGCGCCAAACGACGGTTACTTGCCTCATGCCACATCACAGGCAGGCCGTCCCTCATCAATTCCCGCAGGACTCGCCTACACTCCTCCAAGGAGTACTGGGGGCATCCGTTGTGCTGCACGCGGATTGCACCATCTTCCACAAAGACTCCATTCACTAAAAGGCCGCGGTTAAACAGCCTTTCCACAATAGTCCTCAAAGGACCGCCACCCACCGCGTGCTGAGGTGGAAAACGCACGCGATGAATACGTCTCCGGTAGGTTTCATCGTGAATACACAACCGCTATTCCCTCCGTCACAGCGTCATCATCAACACAGCAACAACGCGCCAGTGCCGGCTCTGTTGGGTACAATGGGAAAGAAAGTCCCAATCTCCATGCCATGATGTCAACAAGAGAGTCAGACGGCTGCTCTGCCATGGCGATAACGTGTCCCATCAGGCGCAGCAGAATATCAGAGTCCAGCAGATTGGAAGGCTCGGCTGTCACCCCGCCAATGAGAGAAATGCGCGGCACCACGCGATGCTCCGCTGGCAGTCCGCCTCCATATTGTGTTCCCTCAGTAACGGACTCTGCGTCAGCACTCTCGCCACACTGGTAGGTCTGAATTTTTATCCCGCAAGGCACGAGTTGCTGCCACCGCATGCTCCTCCCCTGTTTGCTCACCACCCATCTTCATGCGGAAGCAGCAAGTGAGGCAAACCTCGGTTTGCTCCGCCTGAAATTCCCCCGGCATCTGCTCAATTCACCGCCATGGAAAACCGGCGATGCGCAGCTGCGAAGCATTTGATCGTTTCAGCAAACAAATTGGAGAAAAAGGGCTCAAACACACCCACAAGACTCCCAGCAAGAAAAAAGAAAACACGGCATGACTGACACGACTCAGAGTCATGTTTCTAAGACAATGCGTGGATGACTCTGTCGACGCCACACCCGCACCATATGCCATCAACTCCTCCACGGCAATAATCCTGCAGAGTGCGGAGAGGACGTTTCGCGAGCGCATTATTGGCGGAGCCAAACAACTGTACCGTCAGCAGATGACAGCGGTCGGCGGAGGAAAGTGAAGGTGGTGGGACTGTTGGTGAGGGTCGATGCGCAGTGTCCCCCACAAATACGAGGCGGGTGAAGTGAAACACACTCGTCTGAACGTCACCGGCCACCAAGTTGCATTGCTCCCTGCTGTAAATATTGATGAGCTCGAGGCTGGAGCAACTACTCGCAATGAGTGAAAGCGTCTTCCTGCACTGACGCTGCGATTCACATTAGACGGGCAACTTCAGAACAGTCGATCCCCAGCAGTAAAATGCAGGTGGCAGTGACGCTGTGGATTCTCGATTCCCCCGGCAACGGAGGGTGAAGAAGAAAACTGGTCTCCCCAGCTGCGCGGCATCCATCCATTCACTCTGTGCGTCCGGAGTGCCCCGCAGCTGCCTTGAGAGATGCAGCGGACAGACCTCCCTTATTTTCGCCTCGATCCGTCAACGAAGACTTTCGCGGAGGTGTCGGCACACACCGAAGTCTCCCTCGAGCCCACCAAACAAAAGACACACCCGTTGAGCATCGTCACGTGCATCGACGGCCACGCAAATAAATATCCACCGCAACGCAAAGTGTTTCTTATTGGGCACCAAAAGAAAACTGGAGGCGGCGGCCTGGACAACACAGAGATCAAATCACACGCCAGGCAACCCTGAAATACATGCGAAAGAGCCAACGCGGGACCAGCAGCATAACCACTCGAGAGCTGCTGCGTGAACTCCACGGCAAATGGATCAGCCTCAACGCATGGGGCGCTAATTACTGTGGGTGACAGCGCGAAAGCCAACGGTTCCGCAAGGCCGGGAATTGTGGAGACGGCATTCAAACCCTCCTGGGATTCGTGTGCAAAGACACGCAAATAATCCGCCCCTCGGTGCAAGTCGTCACCAATAGTCCTCATCGCTCTCTTTGCCGTCATTCGTATTGTCACACTCAAAGCCGTTGAGGGAAGATGCTTCCATGATGATTGTGACATCACACTGAATGAAACAACGCAATGCCTCGAAGGGCGCCGAGTGCAGGCATCTCGTCAGGCGGCGACACGGCGCATTCTTAGCAATGTACGAGGCACAGGCAACGAAAAAGCTTTCATCCGCCATCGTAATCGCGTCCAGTAGTTTCGCCCTCTTGTTCCTCGGCGCCTCGACCTTCTCCGCAGCACCAACAGCCGCTGCCGTAGACCACGCTCCTGCTGCAATCACTCCCACAGAGAGACAAGGAAGAGTGTGTGGAAGTGTGTGCCGAGAACACAGCGACTGTCATCGCCAGAGAAGGCCATCGTGGCACCGTCCGTCACTCGCCAGCACACACCGAACAAAGCACGTACTCGGCAGTGCAAATACATTCTTGCAGAGTACTGTGCAACCACTTATACGTGTGCTGGGTGTGTGATGGAAAAGCAAAAAAAAAAGAGGAGCACAGGGAGGCACATCAACATGACAGGAGGCACAGCTGGATGGCAGCGATACATGCGGTGCGGCCTCGACCTCAACAATCACGCACGGTGGCAGCACACACCCATCCACAAAAAAAGAAAACAAAAGAAACACGGCGGCAGGGTGTGGCTGTGTGTGTGGCGCTGCGGGTGTCTGCCCGCCCTGAACGCAAGAAAAAAAAACAAGAGGGAAAGAAATGTGTGCTCCGCCCCACAGGCCCTCGTCGCACGCCCACACGTCACGGCTCCCTCAGCGCGCCGTTCGTCGCGGCCCCTCCTCATGCGTGCAGCGGGCGAGGCGCACAGGGCCGTCGTCATGAGCGTGTCGGTGGGTGTGCGAGTGGAGCAGTTGGGCGGGAAACACACGGCACCCCTCACAGGAAGAGTGCAGAAGAAACAATTAAAAGAGGGAAGAGTAGAAAAGAAAAAAACGTCCACAGTGATTGCCCCCAAAAGCAAAAAAAAAAAAAAAAAGAACAGAACAGGGATTAGAGGTTTAAAACGCACAAATTAATAACAAAAAAAAAGAAAAGTGGCAAAAAATTATAAAGCAAACAGACAAAAAAATTAAAAAATTACAAAAAAACAATAAAAAAAGCCGAAACGTGGGATGACCAGCACACACACTCTCATTGCTCCCGTAAAGCAAAACACACACACAGGGAGAGAGAGAGAGGCCGCCCACTCAATGCAATAAAAACAAAACAGAAACAGTTACGGTGCTCCGCCCATGCAGCCAGGCAGGACGGCAGCGGTGCGTGTGGTGCAAAAGAGAGCACCAACGGGCCTGCATGGGTGTGCATGCATATATACAACGGGCACATTATGTGTGTGCTTCGTGGGGTGAGGTGAGGGCGAGAGTCCATGCAAGGGGACACACACACAGAGAGAGTGAGAGAAGGACGAGTGTGTGTGCGGGCGGTGCACGGCTCTCTCTCCCTCACTCTCACGCGGCCACCACCGCAGCAGCAGCCGCACACACAACAAGAAGAAGAAGCAAAAGAGGGGAGGTGGTGTGGGGGACCGCGGTGATGCCGTCACTGTCGTCCGTAATTGCAGTTGCATTTGTACCATTAGCAATTTTTTCTTTCGGGGATTCTTCGCCATTTCCTGCGGAATGTTCACGCTGTTGGTGTTGCTGCTTTTCATGCTGTTCTTTTTCTTGTCGTTCCGGTTCGTGTTCTTGTAGAAGCTCTTGTTTTTCTTCAGAATGGTGTTCGACTGAATTATCCTGATCATGTGTTGCTGTTTTTGCTTCTTCTCCGACTGTTGTACCTCGCAGTGATTCCGCTGCTGCTGTTTCAGCTGCCTCTTTTGCTTTTGCTTCTGCTGCTTTTGCCGCTTCTGCAGCTGCTTTTGCCTCTGCTTCCGCTGCCTCTGCTTCAGCTGCTGCTGTTTCTGCTGCTTTTTCGGCTTCTTCTTTTGCTGCTGCCGTTGTTTTTGCTGCTTCTTGTGTCGCTGCTGCGGCTTTTTCAGCTTCCTCTTTTGCTGCCTCTGCTGCTGCTTTTGCTGCTGTTGCTGCTTCTGCTGCTGCTGTTGCTGTTACTGCTTCTTTTGCTTTTTCTGCTGCTTTTGCTTTTTCTGCTTCTTCTTTTGCTTTTTCTGCTGCTGCTTTTGCCTTTGTTGCTGCTTCCGCTGTTGCTGTTGCTTGTGTGGCTGCTGCTTCTGCTGCTTCTGATGCTGCTGCTGCTTTTGCTTCTGCTTCCGCTGCTGCTGTTGCTGTTACTGCTTCTGCTGCTGCCGCTGTTGCTGCTTCTTTTGCTGCTTTTTCTGCTGCTGCTTTTGCCTTTGTTGCTGCTTCCGCTGTTGCTGTTGCTTGTGTGGCTGCTGCTTTTGCTGCTTCTGATGCTGCTGCTGCTTTTGCTTCTGCTTCCGCTGCTGCTGTTACTTTTGTCGCTGCTGTTTCATCTGTTTCTGCTGATGTTTTTGCTTTTGCTGCTGCCTCTGCTGCTGCCTCTGCTGCTGCCTCTGCTGCTGCTTTTGCTGCTTCTGCTGCTGCTTTTGCTGCTGTTGCTTTTGATGCCGTTTCTGCTGCTGCTGCTTTTGCCTTTGCTGCTGCTTCCGCTGCTACTTTTGCTGCTGTTGCTTTTGCGACTGCTGTTTCTGCTGCTTCTGCTGCTGCCTTTGCGTCAGCTGTTGCTCCTGCTGCTCTTTGTTCTTGTCTTTCCTGCAATCTCGCAACTGGAATAAATAATTCTTTCAGACTGTTGTCGTCCCCACCAGAAACCACACCAACAGCTCCATCGGCCGCAACACACCACAGCACGCAGAGAGCACAAACCAGCAGCACACGGCCAGTCATCATCATCGCCATCACTCCTGTCACTTGCGTGCAGCCTTCAGCACAAACTAACTCCCCGTCAACAGAGAGTAAAAGCAAAGGAGAGAGACAAGTCACACAGCCGCGCACACTGTTCCATCCAGGAATGAGAGTCACGCACAGTAAAAAATAACAGCAACGCACACAAAAATGAGACAGATGGAATCAGTACAATTGCAGATCTCGAACGCCGCCCTGCAAACCAGAAGTTCTAAAAAGTAAGAAGTAAAAATAAAAAAGAAAGCATCCAAGGTTCCTCCGCATGCACATACGGCGAGAGCGGTCCGTCGTGTCGGCACCCCTCACGGAGGGCACGCACACACACAAGAGGAGGTGCAGCGCACACAGCAACAAAAAAGCAAAGTAACAATAAAAAAGGAAATCCCCGCACGCCATGTGGATTGTTGGTCCACGGGAAGTGCAGCCAATATTCATCATGTAAACAACTTACATTATGTTTACTCTTCTTTGCGTGTCGTGCCGGCAATCGGTGAGTAGCGCAAGGGCCGTCAGCAATAAAGTGGCAAGTATTCCTTCGCAAACAGGCCGTTTTGCAGGCTGAGGCAGTTCAAAACAGCCGTACGCCTTATTCCCAACGACAAGGGCATTACCGCAGTGGATGAAGCGGAATCTACCGTGGTCCGTCGGGGATCGGCGGCACGCGGCGTCTGTGATGGGGCGGTGGCGGAAGGGCCTGGTCCATCTCGAATGCCCGCGCTTGTGCTTACTGCGTGTCTTGCCTGCTGGCATGCTTGGCAACTTCGGTGGCGACCTGCGCGCGAGGCGTCTGTTAGGAAGACGGTGGCGCCATTGCGGCATGCAAAGTTGAGGCCTGTCAAACTATCGGAACGCCAGGCCGAGCACGTCGGGCATGTGCCGTAATATTGCGGACAAACGAGCGCGCTCTGCCGCAGATTGGGCAGGAGAATTTCGATCCGCCGCTCGCTGGTCGGAAAGGAGTTGCGGCGCTTACGTCTGGAAGAGGCGACGACGGAGGCAGTGGCGGGCCGACCTCCTCAGTGAAGAAAGGACGGCGCCACCGACACAGGGAGTCGCTTGTGATCTGCAGGGCGCGTGCGGGCGTGTCGAAGAGTGGGCAGGAGTCGCATCGCATCTGCGCGCGGTGCCGCCACTCGGAGCGCGATGTCCGTGTTGACACCAGGAACACAGCCCTCGCCACACCGAAGAGCGCCTGTCACGCGGTGTGTGCGCCTTCCTTTTCCTCCTGCACATCCTTCTGGTTCCGTCGCCTGACTGCAGCGAGGAAGCCCACGTGCCAGGCATTGACGCAGTTCTGCGGGAGGGATCGTGCCATGATGGCGTCAGCGTCCGCTGTCACGTTGCGTGGGATTCCGCAGTGTCATGAGGAAAATGTGGAGCCAACAGTGCGACCTCGATCCGCCAGTGAAAGCGGCACGGTGGAACTCCTCTCGGTGACGTCGTCGTGCACCGCCGGCGGGCAAAGGCGGAGCGCCTCCATCGCCGAGAGGGAGTCTGTGGCGGCAGGAACTCGTGTGGGCGATCGGGATGCTGCTGCCAGACGGGGAACTGAAAACTGTCTGTGGCCATGCTCAGTGGCAGGACACTCTGCTCGGCAGGAGCATGCAAGGCTGCCGGCAGCTGCGCGTTGAGGCCCCACAGGCAGCGCGGCTGCCCGGGGAGCCAAATGGCAGCGCGGCGGATCCAGACGCATGCTCAGCGAGAGACGACAAGCCGTCCACCGCCAACACAGTTGCCAGCGACTAACAACACGTTGACCATGAATAGGACACGTATGCCCGCACCGCCGTGGGCACGGACAGCGACCCCGATTCACTCAGCAACGGTGATCTAATGCCTCTGGATGGTACAACAGCCACGCCTGAGCCCAGCACAGCCCTAGCAACTGCTGAACGAGTGATAAAGTGTCGGGTGGCGGTGATGCCGCACAGGATTATTTGCGCACAACGTCTGGGAAACCAGAGACCCCATCGGAGCGCAGCGCAGAAAAAAGCCTGGAGGACCTTTTGCTTGAGTACAGGCATTTCACGGATTTGTTGGCCATGGCCGAAATTGGTGACAGCACCGTGCATGGGTGTGTGTCTCGGGTGTTGTTGCTTCTGCTTCTGGGACTGTGAGGCACTGTGGCACTCTGCTGAGGTGTGAGGGAGGGTGGAATTGCGGCTTTTTGTGGAACAACTGTGCAGCTTGCCAGCATTACCCACTGAGTTTTTTCAATAATTTAAGCTTTTTTATTTTCTTTTATTTATTTATTTTTGCTGCTTTTGTCCTATTGGAATAATCAGCATCCCTGTGTTTTTCCCCGATGCTCGTTTGCAGTACTTTGTCATGAGTGAAGTGCTTCTCCTCCTTGTTTCCTTCTCTTGCCCACACGCGGTGCCAGCCTCATTGCTGTGTGTCCCACGGACTGCACAAAAGGAGGATTGGAGGAACAGGCTGGATGCCGCATGAAATGTGAGGGACGTTGTGTGGGCTGGTGGAACAGCAAGATCTCTTTTTTTGATTTATTCAGTCCAGGCATTACGTATACAAAAACCAGTGGTCGTTTACATTGCGCTGCTTGGCACATAAAATAAAAGTCGTGCCTGATCGTTCTTTTTTTACTTTTTGGGAGTCATGCCGGACTCTCAACTCTGTTGCTCTCCTTTTTTACTGCTTTTTAACTTCTGGTTTGCAGGGCTGTGTGTGAGTTCTGCAATTGTACTGATTCCAACTGCCTCATGGTCTGTGCGCATTGCTATTTGTTACTGTGCGTGGTGTAGCGGAATTGAATTTCTCCTTTTGCTTTTTACTCTGCGTTGACGGGGAGTTAGTTTGTGCTGAAGGCTGCAGGCAAGTGACAGGAGTGATGGCGATGATGATGACTGGCCGTGTGCTGCTGGTGTGTGCCCTCTGCGTGCTGTGGTGCGGTGCTGCGGTGGAGGCGGAGGGTGATGATGTTACTGAACCACAAGATGAACCATCGAGGGCTTCACAGTCTGCATCTGAGGGCGGCCATGAAGAAGAACCGGATATACGAAATCCAGTCGGTGAAGTGTTGAACACCTCAGAAGGACCGTTAGTTGCGCGAGACTTAACGAAGGTCAGCCCTCAAAAAACTTCTTTCAAACAACCACCAAGAGATAATGGTGGGGCGGCAGGAAAAGAAGAAAAAGTAGAAGTAAAGAAGGTGGGAGATGAGGAAACAAGAAGTGATGGAGAAGAACCACCAAAAGATCATTCAGAAGGAACGCAGGAACGCGATGGCCCAAAAGAAAACGAAAGGAACCCATCTCCAACACCAGCAGAGAAAATGTTGACCAGTGGAGATAAAACAGCAGAACATGCAGGACGGGCGGGCCAAGCAATAAGAGCGCCACAATCACCAGAATCTGATGGAACTCGACCCAGTGGCAGTTCTGTTGGAGGTTCTAAACGGGGTGAAAGTTCCAATTTGGATAATTCTGCTTCTGATGGTGGCAAACAATCTGCTGTTGACGGTTTAGGTTCCGGTGGTGGAACTGTCTTGGACCCCAATGGTGGTGGTGGAAGTAGTGGAAGAGGCGGCGGCAGTTCTCGAGGTGACTCTTCAGTTTCTCCTCTTTCTACGGCTGGCATTTCTTCATCTTCTGCCCTCGATGCCCCATTTGTTCAGAGCACGCAACCTTCAGAAAAGGGTCTACAGTCGGAAACAATGTCTCTTGGAACCGCATTACCCAACGAGCAGCCAAAGGAGAGATCAGGATCCAAAGCAAAACAGGGCTCCTCTACTTCAGAAGAAGCCGCAGAAAGTCTAGATGATAGTGGGGATGCAGTTGAAAAGGAGAAAGAGAAGGGAGACATTGGACCGAAAGCCACTACAAGCCTATCTTCTACTACCAGCTACCCACCAGTAACACGAACAACTCCACGATCATCCGAAAAACCATCACCAACAAAAACGGAAGTTCAAGCAGGAAAGGAAACCTCAACAGAAAATGTCACCATCACCAAGAGAAATGACACGGCGACACCTGGCGACAGTGACGGCAGCACCGCGGTCTCCCACACCACCTCCCCTCTTTTGCTTCTTCTTTTTGCGTGTGCGGCTGCTGCTGTAGTGGTGGCCGCGTGAGAGTGAGGGAGAGAGAGCCGTGCACCGCCCGCACACACACTCGTCCTTCTCTCTCTCTGTGTGTGTGTGTTCCCTTGCATGGACTCTCGCCCTCACCTCATCCCACGAAGCACACACATAATGTGCCCATTGTATATATTGCATGCACACCCATGCAGGCCCGTTGGTGCTCTCTTTTGCACGACACGCACCGCTGCCGTCCTGCCTGGCTGCATGGGCGGAGCACCGTAACTGTTTCTGTTTTGTTTTTATTGCATTGAGTGGGCGACCTCTCTCTCTCTCTCTCCCTGTGTGTGTGTGTTTTGCTTTACGGGAGCAATGAGAGTGTGTGCGCTGGTCGTCCCATGCTTCGGCTTTTCTCCTATAGTTTTGTTGTTTTACTTGTGGTTGGTGCACCCATTACTTTTTTTTTTTTTTTTTTGATTGTTGGCTTGCTTTGACTGCGGACGCCTAAATTCTCTTGTTGTATTTTTTCTTTTCTTTTGAGATATTGTCAGTGTTTCCTATTCTTGTAAAGCCATGAAGTATTTTCCTTCACGTAAAGCATGCGTCAGTTGATCCACGTCACCCCACGGTCTGCATTGCTGCTGGTGCTTCTGGTTGCGATGATGTTTGTGATGTGTTGTGCCGGCGGGTGCTTTTCTGCCAGCCTGACGTACTCCTGCTCCTCTGACAAAGCGATGCGTGCCGACAGGGCGAAGTCGATCCCGGCTGTGGTGAGGGACGTGCCTTTTGGATCTGAGGGTGCGTCGCAGACATGCACCGTCATTGGGAGGAATGGATGGGCGCCCATCCGCATCAATGTGTCGACAAGGGACCTGGATGATACCAGGAAGTATTGCAGCTCAGAGCGGTAGCACGCAATGAATTCATTGGTGACAATTGCGAGTGTGAAGGTGACGTTTTTCTATGCTGAGAAGAGGGAAATATTTGTTTCGTTATCCTTTGCAGCCGCTGTTCGTTAATGGCCTGCGGGCTGTCCGTAGCGATGTGGCCAGTTTTTCCTTTTTGAACGATGCTGTCGTGCGAGAGGGTGTTCCCAAATAGTTGGATGCTGAGTTGTCGAGGACGGGGGCATTCCCACAGCGTTTGCGGCAGGCCTTCCCGTGTATTGTCGGGGGCTCAGCGGCTGGTGGGGGTTGCAGCGGAGGAGTGGCTGAAGGGCTACGGCTGTCATTGGAGCTTGCAGAGGTGCGTTGTCCGTTTTTTGCTCGTTGATACGCTTGACATTTTCTGTAGTGACCTGCGCGTGAGGCACTTGTTGGGAAGACCGTGGAGCTGTCGCAGAATCCACATGTGAGGCCTTCTGCAACGATTGGAGTGCCAGGGTTAGTGCGTCGGGCGTGTGCCTTCATATTGTGGACGGACGAGAAGACGCTGCTGCAGCTTGGGCAGGGCGACGTTGATCTGCTGCCCGTCATTCTACGAGGAGGTGCCGTGGACACGCCAGGTGGAGGTTCCGGAGGAGGTCGGGGCGGTCCTGTCTCTTCAGTGTGAGGGAGGGCAGCACCACCGACATAAAGGGTTGCTTGTGATCTGCAGGGCGCGTGCCGGTATGCCGAGGAGTGGGCAGGAGGACGTCAATCAGCCGCTTGCCGGTCGGCAAGGAGTGGCGGTGCTCACGTCGGGAAGATGTTCCGTCGGAGGCAGAGCACAGACGCGGTCCCAACAGCACCGCAGCACAGCCGATCCCAGAGGGCAGGGACGTGGCGCCGCCATGCCTCGGGGTATCACAGGCCTGGGATCGAGAGGGCACCAAGCTGTTTCTCACGGACCTCTAGCTGCATGGAGAAGCCACGGCGGAGGGCATGATTGCGGTCCTCCCGTTTGCGGAGCACTTCAGCTCGTGGCAGGCTGCCGCTGCAACACACTCGGCCTGCTACATTCCGTCCGTACAGGTTCCTGTGGGACTGTCACGGCTGCCGCTCGTACGGTGCCTCGGTGCATCTCAAACCATGTGGTCACAGCGGCCAGAGGTGTTCCACACGCCGAGGTGCAAGCATCACAGTCAGCTTCACGCAGGAAAAAGGCGACATGTTTCCGTCGTGGCAGCATGCCTGCCTGTCGCGGGATGCCGTCCTCCGTCCCTGCAGTGTGGGATGGCAGATGGTGGTCCGAGTCCATGTAAACGGGTGGACGTCCAGTGGGAGACACGCAGTGCGCGTTGTGCAGTCACGTCGGGAAAATAGACGCTGCGGCCGCTGCTCCACGTTGCCTGTGCCGGGTCTTCGGATAGCTCAATCTCCATGCCGCTTGGGGTGATGGCGAGGTCCTCTCCTGCCGTCGTGGATGGTGAGCAACCGTCACGCAGCTCATGGTGTGAATTCAGGTCGCAAATAACCGCTGCAGAGCCAAGGCGACGAATGGTGCTCGCAAAGTGAGCAGCGTGAGCAATTGCCGGGAAAGGTTGCAGAGGTTCACCACGTACATGCTGGGGCAGGCCGGTGGGCACACGCGGAAGGCGGTCGTCTCCAGGCAGTTGGTGCCACGAGCGACAGGCGCTCGCACGGCAAGGTGTGGCGCACCAAGAAGGCCACGCCACCGGCACGCCCACTGCAGGCCTGGTGGGAGGTACCGCAGCCAATGAACCTCGTCGCTGGAGCACTCTCGTGCCTGCACTCCTGCAGAAGAACCATGCCGGGCTGGTGCTGCGCCAGTCGAGCAGCGAGAGCAATCCTGAGGGGGCGAAGGGCCTGAAGTTCTGAGCTGCCAGACAACTAAAAGGCCATCCTCATCGGCGCTGCGGCTCTTGCGGACACCACCGCAGCGGGTGATGCCGACGGAGTGACCGCAATAAAACGACTGTGCGGTTCTGTCAGTCAAACTGCAGACAAACCGCCTCGCCGCTCCACAACCGACAGAGCGTGGGACCTTCTCGAGGGGTGACGCCGTCGTGGTCCCCATCACGCTCGATGAAATGCCCTGCCGCAATCACTCCCACAGAGAGACAAGAAAGAGTGTGTGGATGTGTGCCGAGAACACAGCGACTGTCATCGTCAGGGGAGACCCTCGTGGCACCGTCCGTCACGCGTCAGCACACACCGAGCAACGCCCAACCACGGGAAAGCAAAAACAACGAGGAGAGGAGAATGTCCCCAAGAGCAGGCAGCACCTTCATGCATGGCGGGCATCGTGCAGCCGCGTCATCATTTCAGCACGGGACGCAAGCCAACGTCCCTACCTTCGCCAAACATTACTGCAGAGCACTGCGCAAATACTTCCGTGTGTTTGCTGGAAGAGCAGAAAAGAAGAGGAGGAGCACAGGGAGATACATCAGAACAGCAAGAGGCACAGCTGGATGGCAGCGGTACATGCGGTACGGCCTCAACCTCAGCAATCACGCACGGTGGCAGCACACACCCACACAAAATAAAATAAAATAAAAAGAAAACAAAAGAAACACGGCGGCAGGGTGTGGCTGTGTGTGTGGCGCTGCGGGTGTCTGCCCGCCCTGAACGCAAGAAAAAAAAACAAGAGGGAAAGAAATGTGTGCTCCGCCCCACCGGCCCTCGTCGCACGCCCACACGTCACGGCTCCCTCAGCGCGCCGTTCGTCGCGGCCCCTCCTCATGCGTGCAGCGGGCGAGGCGCACAGGGCCGTCGTCATGAGCGTGTCGGCGGGTATGCGAGTGGAGCAGTTGGGCGGGAAACACACGGCACCCCTCACAGGAAGAGTGCAGAAGAAACAATTAAAAGAGGGAAGAGTAGAAAAGAAAAGAACGTCCATATTGATTGCCCCCAAAAGCAAAAAAAAACGAAGGGATGGAGTGTGTGAGATTTAAAATGCACAAATTAATAACAAAAAAAGACCAGCAAAAAAATTTAAAGCAAACAGGAAAAAAAAATTAAAAAATTACAAAAAAACAATAAAAAAAGAAAAAAAAAGAGGTGTGGGAAGACCAGCGCGCACATTCTCATTGCTCCCGTAAAGTAAAACACACACACACAGGGAGAGAGAGAGAGGTCGCCCACTCAATGCAATGGAAACAAAAAAACAGTTACGGTGCTCCGCCCATGCAGTCAGGCAGGACGGCGGTGGTGCGTGTGGTGCAAAAGAGAGCACCAACGGGCCTGCATGGGTGTGCATGCATATATACAATGGGCACATTATGTGTGTGCTTCGTGGGATGAGGTGAGGGCGAGAGTCCATGCAAGGGGACACACACACACAGAGAGAGAGAAGGACGAGTGTGTGTGCGGGCGGTGCACGGCTCTCTCTCCCTCACTCTCACGCGGCCACCACCGCAGCAGCAGCCGCACACGCATTAAGAAGAAGTAAAAGAGGGGAGGTGGTGTGGAAGACCGCGGTGCTGCTGTCGCTGTTCTGTGTATTCGTCGTATCGGTTTTGTTGGCGGTTACTGTCGTTGCTTTTGTATCTTCCCCAGTCCCTTCTGAGCCTTTGTCTCGGTGGCTTTGTGGTGTGGCTGCGGTCGCAGGCAACGGAAGATTTTTTTTATTTTCACTCGTGGTCTCTTCGCCATCCTGTTTGCGGGAATCAACACCGTCTTCTGGAGATGATGGAAGATTTCCTCCCCCAGGCAGTGTGTTCTCTCCGTTACCTGTTTTGAGTGCGTCCTCTACTGCAGGTTTATTTTCGTCGGTGTTCTTCTCTTCTTCAAATTCCGTTTGCGTAGGATTGGCAATTGATTCTCGACTGTTGGAAGGAGAAACGTCCTCTGCAGATAAAATTGACTGGTTCTTTTCATTCTCACTGCCAATTAAAATCTCTTCCCTGGAACCTGGGTCTGGTGCAACTGTTCCTCCTTGACCACTCTGCCCTGCTGTTCTTTTTCCTTCTTTCTCTTCGGTTTCTCCATCTTCCATCTCTTCATCTTCATCATCACCATCTGCATCCCCACCTTGAGGAGGGGAAGATATTGGTGATACTTCTTCTGTAACAACTGTTACTCCATTTTGTAAGCCTTGGGAGCCTACTGGAGGCGTTACAACTGGGTTTGAAGCTGGTGGAAGTTCACCACCACTTTCAGAGCCTGCTGCCTTTTCCTCGTCTGCAAAACCACCGCCGGCACCGCACCACAGCACGCAGAGGGCACACACCAGCAGCACACGGCCGGTCATCATCATCGCCATCACTCCTGTCACTTGCCTGCAGCCTTCAGCACAAACTAACTCCCCGTCAATGCAGAGCAAAAGGAAAAGGAGAGACACGTCCGCTACACTTACCGTCACCGCGCAGTGACAAATGGTGGCAGCTTGCACACACCATGAGGCAGTTGGAATCAGTAAACACAGATTTAAAAAGCGCAAAAAAAAGCAATAAAGTAAAAATGTAAAAAAAAAAAAATGCTGCACCGAATGACACCAGTGCGCATGCACCAGCACCCAAAAATGCATCTACACAAACAGTTGTGAGCGTGTCGTGCATGTGAGTGTGTCTGGGATGTGTTCAACGTGACGGATACAGGGAGCCACAACATGGAGCACACAGCAGGGCAGCAGAAGCAAGTGAAGCAAAACACAATCATTATTTTCTCTTATTTATTTACATCGGACCACAGTAGACGCGCACAAATCCCCGTGGCTGAGTGCTGGCACGCACAGCCCGCATACACCTCTTCAGCCCAAAGTGGTGTACGCCAGCGCGGATACGGCGAGCAGCAGCGGGGCACACACCCACGCAGAGCTGCTGAGGCTGCCGTCGATTTCGCGCAGACGTGACGGTGCGCGGGTGGTCGTGGTAGTTGGCGCCTCCGTACTCGTATCACTTGGAGCCTGTGTTGTAGTTGTCGTGGTGGTGGCTGGCGCCTCTGCAGTCGTGGTGGTCGTAGTTGGCGCAGTGATCCTTTTTGCTGAATTATTTTCCAGTTCGTTTGGAGGAGTTGGTGACATTCCCGTAGTGGCCGTACTTGGCGCTGTAACGGTCCTCGAATCCGGTGACTCTGCGTCTCTGGGCTGTATTTGTAACACTCCGGCTCCGGTCACTGCATCTGGTTCCTTTGACCTGCCGGCTTCCGGATCTGTGGACCCTTTCGTGCCGGACGTAGCACTTTCTCCCGTTGGCGCAGGAGGGCTTGGGAGAGAGTTTTGACTTCCTCCTCCGCCAGTTACCTGATTTTGTCCCTGTGTTACATCGGAATTACTTTGTGACCCCGCCACACCGGAAGCACCTGATTGCAGTTGCTTACTGCTCGGAGTTTGCACCCCTGGCTGAACCGGCGGTTGACCGGGGACATCAACATTTTTTTCACCATCCGCTGCTACACACACGGACGGGCAGCAGCACAGGGCGAGCACCAACAGGGCGCACAGCAGACGGCACGTCATCATCGTGAGTGTGGTCGTTCAGTGGTGTGGAGCTGATCTGCACAGTGAGGGACATGGAGAGCAACAGGGGAGACGAGAGGTGCGGCAGACACACACACAGAGGGCACACCACATGAGGAGAGGGCAGCAGCCAGGCATGCACCGCACACCGCACACCACGCACGACACACACTCCAATCCACGGCAGCAGGCACACACACACACAGCCCTGCCGCAACACCAACACACAGAGATGGAGGAGGGAGAAGCAAACAGGAGCGGCACACAAAAGGAGTGAAAAAAGAGGAGACCACTACGGCTAAACATCAGACTGTAGGCTACCAGAGGGACGAAAAAGACAAGAGGGCCGCGCCGCGTCGGCAATCGGTGCGTCACTTACTTGCAGATTAGGCGTCCTGCGCGATTGTTGTCGCTCATTGTGACGCATACGCCCTCGTAGCCCCAGAGGGTGGAACATCCAACGCCAACCCAAACACCGCTGTCAACACGCCATTGCCACAATCGTGAAGAGCCGGCTGGCACCACAGACGGCAAGAGGGACACACCAAGACACGCCATGCACAAAAGGGGCGCATCAAGCCCGCAAACAGTGCGCACCGCTCCAACACCGCAGGGCCCTCCCGCACGCACGCAGCATCCTCCTCCTTCCTTATCTTCGGCTCATTGCCGCCACATCCGACACCTGCACCTCACAATACCAGAGGGAAACACAAAACAGCTGAAGCAGCAACAACAACAAAACTGCCACCTTGTTGCGCTGACGCCACTGCACGAAAGGATGCGCCGACGATGGGAGTCCATCGCGCAGGAGACGGAAATGAGCCCAACGAGGCACCCAAGAGCCACACGTTGGCAGTCTTGTCGGGGCTGCCTCAATGCAACCACAACAAGTAGTGCCGCAACCACGGAGCCATGCACCCTGACCCACAGCGTCTTTTCACAATCAGAACAGCAGGGACAGAGGGAAGTAAGACACACTACCCACAGTGCAGCAGAGCACCCGAGAAACACACGCAGCTAATCAAAAACGGATGCAAAAAATCGGGAAGGCAGAAAAATAAAAAGGACGCATACAGATTAAAAGCCGAAGCGCAGAAATTTTTTTAGGTCCACATTCTCGCAATGACGCACACACAAAAAAAAAGAAGCAAAGTCACAAAAACAAGCAAAAGTGTAAAAGATAAAGCCGCATGCACCAATTACGGAGGCAGAGGCAGTCGTCCCTGTCCTTCAGAGAAACAGCTGCTGGCACGACCCCGCCTCCATTGGAGCACATTTCCTTTACTTTTTACTCATGATTAGACTACGGTGATTTCCCCTCGTCCCAATCGCATCAAAAACGAGTGTATACATGTGGTGCTGGGAAATGTCTTTTCTCTCCATGTTACTTCGTTCACACACAGTTTTCACGGAAGTTAAACCCTCTAAGCAATAAAACAAAAACACCTTTTCCCAGAATAACAAACAAGGCAATAAAAGACCGGTCATTTTGCCCATCACCCGCAAGCAACGAAGGACATGGGGAATGCAGTGAGTGTACTATAGTGTTATTGCTACGGCTTTGCACATCTTGAGTGCGGGGCCAATGTGCCAAGTAAATACTGTCGCCCTGCCGCAGTTTGATTGCGCCCAGCCGCCGCGGCTGCTCAAAGAGGCAACACCACTGCCGCCGCGACCACAACAAGAAGCACAAAGGGAATGAGGCCAGCAGTAGCAGCAGCCACACCGCCATCACTGTCGGCCTGCTGTACCAACGCATCGGGTATCGCCTGAAAATCGCCGCTGCTGACGGACGGAATCGGAGTGGCAGGCACGGAGGCACTGGGAATCACCGCTGGGCAATCCGCCCGCGGGTCGCCCTCCGCTCGTGCAACGTCCTCGCCGGGTGATGGCGCAAAAAAAAAAAAAAGCGTCGGGGCCGGAGGCTCTGTTGGCTCCGTCGCTTCCACTGCCATATCTCCTCCCTCGCCGCTGAGTGTTGTCCTCACTTTCGGTCCGCACCCCCGGATCACCCCTCGGACCGGCATGAAGACCACCACCAGCGACACCCGCAGCCGAAGCACCGGGAGGCTCCTTTTCAATGGAGGCACCAGACGCCACAGGAGACAACTGTGGACGAGTATTCTCCGGAGAAGGCGACCCTGAGGCAACCGCAGACTCTTCTGCTTCCTCCTCTTGATCGTAACCCTGTCCACCCACCAACGCACTCGGGATGACAAGACTGCTGCCGTTCGCGGCAATGGTGCACACCTCGCCGTACGTGGGGCACTTGATCCTCCCATCTTTTTTAAAATCTTTCAACGCCACTGGGATGTCAGTGCCCTCAGGGCAAGGCTGAAAAACACTGCTGCCGATGTGCCTCTCCTTCACTGTGCCATCCTCACACGACACCTGCGCGCACACTCCCTTGACGCTTTTATGGCCATTACCGTCCTTCGTCTCCAGTAATTCCGCGTCCAGGCACCACGAGCCACCGCCAGTCAGCGACCCACGGAGATAATCCACATTTTCGTCCGAGCACGTCCTGTACGTTGTCCCAGACGATATTTCGCGAAATTCGGAAGATACGACAGGGCAAATGTCCTTATCCACCAGACTCCCCTTGTCCTCAACGATGCTTGCGGTGCACGTCCCAACGTGACGGCAGTCGGAGGTGCAGCGAAGCGTCTCTGTGTCTTTAGCATCGCAGGACACGTGAGGATACTTGGCGGCAAGATTATCGGTTGTATTGCACTTGTTGACCAGGAAGTCGCAGCCACTGCGGTGGCCCCAGCTCATCGGCTCCGCCATCCTCCAATTCACGCGGTAGTATCCCATATCCGCGAAAACCGCCATCGTCAGAGCCGTGTAGTAGCCGGCGTCGACTGCGGGGGCCATCAGCTCGTCCCGCGCGTGGCGTCCCTTCCAGTGAAGAATCGCTTTTTCCCGAGGGCCATCTTCGTCCTCCAGCACCATGCCCTCGAGAGAAACTTACAACCAAAGTGCGCTTTCGCCTTCTCCTGAACGTGCTTCCCTGCCACCATCCTGCGGTGCGTCCCACGCACACTTCTCTCTCGCTTCTTCACCAGGCTCTTTTCTCTCATGCTCTCCTGGTTGAACCCAAGTGCATGCGCAATTTCGTGTGCGGCAACGCGAACGCTCCACGCCGTGTCAGTCATGCACTTCAGATCAAATTTCATGGCGCCAATGGGGGGACGAAGATCACTCAGTGTGTTACACGTGGCCGCCCACACAGCCCTGCTATCCGTGCCCGATGGCCTAGCAGCAGCGTAGATGATAAAATCTGCATTCGGCACACCGTCACTCTTGTGCCTGGTAGGAACCGTAAAGTGGATGCACGGTCCATTCATAGCCCTCGGTACAGTTATCGTCCCACCAGTGGGTTTCACAAGTAGTCGCTCAGCGTGCAGTTTGACGTCACCGAAGAGAATCTTCCCAGTGTACAATTGTTTCTTTGCCTCCGTCAGGAAATGCTCTGCTTTGCATGATAACTTGTGCCCCAATGCATTGTAGCACTCATCCTCTCCCTCTTCGCAGTACTTCCTCTTGTTCGTGCCTCTCTCCAGATCCTCCGTGGAAACCGCAATGCGGATCGGCTCCCAGCCACTGTCGTCATCCTGTGTGGCGACGGTGTACGCCTGCATGGCGCCTTGTCCATTGCGCGGCACCTCACGCACCACCGCAGTCAACAGCGGGTCGCTCCTCATCATCACCATGTCAAACCCACAGCGGTACTGTGTGGCGGGTGCAGCAGCAATACACCCACTGGCGCAGCACATCAGCAGCAACACCACCAGTGGGAAAAGCGGTGTGGCGTGGCGTGGCGTGGCTGGCGCATGACTTAAGGAAAATGCATTTCTTGATTTC